GGGCTGGCAGCCTGACCAAGGGCGCTGCCGGCGCCAAGCACGCTTACGGCTCAGGTGAGCGATGTAAAGCTCTGTGGCCCACGCGCGTGGACCGGTGAGGTGCCTGCCAGCGCCGCCCCCAGGTTTAAAAAGTAAAACTCTGGAGGGGCTGGGTGCAGTTCCCTTCAGGAGAAGCGGAGGAGTTAAATTCTTGTTTTAATTCTTTGCAGGCTGGTTTATAAATGGTTTCTGCTGATATACAAGATCAGCTATGCCACTGGAATCGTAGGGTACATGGCCGTGATGTTTACACTTTTTGGTCTTAACTTACTATTCAGGTGAGCGAATCTTTCGGGTCCCGCTGCTGGGGCGGGGGGTGCCACAGGCCGTGTGCTTAATGATCTGATGAACGGGGCCAAAGAGGCTCTCGGGGTCTCCTGTCCCTGCTGGGAGGGTCACGGCTGAGACGCTGGTACCCGAACTGGGCAGGGTCGCTGGAGACGCCCCGCTTCCAGCTCAGCCGCGTCGGCAGCTCCTCCAGCTCCGTGCGCGTCCAGGCTGGGGGCAGCGGGGGGGATTTGCTTTGCTGCCCTGGTAAAGAGGTGCCTGGAGCAAGCAGCCAGCCCGGGCGTGGTAGCAGAGGACCCCAGCCCTGCTTTGGAGAGGTTGATTCCTTCTCTGGCATAGGAGCAGGCCTGGCAGCTGCCTGCGGAGACGCGGAGGTGTTAACTGGGGGCTTACTGGGAGCTGATCCGGTGCGGGAGGTGGTTGGGGATTGCTGCGCTTGCTCGTTCCGGAGGCTGGTGAGGGCGCCGGGCGTTAGCCGGGGTGTCACACCCAGGGCTCCCTTCCACTGCTGCCTGCTGAGAGTGAGGGCAGCGCCCCAGGAGCAGGGACCGGGGCTGTGCTGGGCACCAGGAGACCCCTGGGGGTGACGCTTCCCGGCGCCGCGTGCCCACTGCCTTGGTGGGCCGCTCTTGCGACGGGGCCGGTGCTGTGGGCTGTGTCAGCACGCTGGCTGTGCAGCCCCGCAGCCCCCCAAAGAAGCTCCTGATGTCGTTTGGGCTTTTCTGTTGCAGAATCAAACCAGAAGACGCCATGGACTTTGGCATCTCCCTCCTCTTCTACGGTCTTTACTACGGGGTGCTGGAGCGGGACTTTGCCGAGATGTGTGCGGATTACATGGCCTCGACAATCGGGGTGAGCTCACGCCGTGCCGTCCCCCAGGCGAGAGTCCCGCCTCGTTAGGGGGGGCCCGAAACGTGTCAGTCGCGGCGGTAGCTTTTGCCTCCCCCAGAGGGGAAGGTGCATCAGACTCCCCCCCGAGGAAGGGCTCCCCGAGGCTGCTGCCTCTCTCGCTGTGCTCCCTCCGGGCCCGCTCCCACAGTGCCTGGGCTGGGAGGTTTCTGACCTAACAGAGTTGCTCCGAGAGCCTTCCCTAAGAGCAGAGCCTCTGCGGGGGCCCCTCGTGCCCAGGAGCGCGAGAATCTAAAGGGTCCGTTCAGCCCCTCTAAACTCCCGACAAATATTTCTCTACCTGGGCCTTTAAAATCTGCGGTGCCGACGAGCGCTCCTGTTTCCGGGACCACCTGCACGTGCATTAGCTCGTGACCTGCAGCCACCAGGGAAGGATTGACGCCACGGGCTTCCTTCTGCTGCTTGGCCCCGCTGCAGCGTGTGCTGTCCCTGGTCCCCCGTGCCTGCAGCGGTGGCCTAGAGTCGGCAGCCTGCTCGCCTGGTGCCAAAACACCCCACTCCACCAAGAAATATGTGACCTAGGATGCCGGTGGAGCAGGTCGCGTTGCTGCTTTGCAGCAGCTCTTTAGGGTCTTGGGCTTTGTGCTTCCTCCTGCTCTTCTCCGAGCTTGCTGCTGCTGCTCCTTGGAGGGGCTGCCTGGCAGGACTGGGGAGCCCCAGCCCCTCGTTGGCCGCCTTCCACTGGCACTGGGGCGCCTCGGCAGAGCTCGGGTCTCCCCCCACGCGGGCGGTGGGCACCCAGGACGGGCCTGCAGCAGCCCAGGCTCTCCAGA